GGAATCGAGCAGATTAGTTTTAGGAAAGATCGAGGGGTCGTCACTTCATAATTATTTGATGCAATTTTTTTCAGGATTAATAATAAAACTTTGAATTGACAGAGTTGATGGTTAAAACAAATATGAAATTTATTTGGATATCCGTTCTGTGATCTATAGGCACCTACTGATCACAGATGGCTACTCTAAATCAAAAAAATTTGCATTAGAACACAAAGTAAAGTTAAATGTGTTAAATAAATTAAATTAAATTAATTCAATTGAGTTTGCCTGAAAATATCAATCGATAATCCCAAGTTTTAACGAAAAGTCAACATTGTTTTAATTCAGTTGAAAATTTTAGTCACAATTTTAAAATATATCTCAATTATCATTAAGTCGATTGCTTGAACAAATATAGAAGATCATGCAACTTGCTTCAATGCCAAATGCTATTTGCACCTAATTTATATTTCAAGTTATATTAATATTACGATTTTCTTTCTATTAGATGTTCCAAAAAACGACTTCGGTCAGCAAACAGAAGAAACAAAATTAATAACGCACAGGATAAGACGGCGTAAAACTAAAAATATAGAACAAAAACCTATTAATGAAGTTAGTTCATTTTAAAAGTACATATTTAAGTAAAACTAAAATAATAAAATAGAATAAAAATGGATTATTGTTATTTTTTCAAGAAACGAATCCAACTTGCAGTTGCAAAGACTGATGAACAACAAGAGCAAGAAACGCGCGGTCGAAGTTCTTCGGTAGAAAGTGAAAGGTAATAATTATAATATTTATTACAATTATATTATAACTAGCAAAGCCGACAAACTCCGTTTCGCCACCAGATGGTTTCGTGAGAAAGATGAAGAAATTTTTGTTTGTTTTTTTATTTGAAAGGAAAAATTTGATTTTATTGCACAACAGTAATGAATTTATTTCGATTACAAAAATGAAGTGTTTTTTAGTTGAACTTCTCTAAGTAAATGAAAGTGAATCCGCAAATTATCCGTTTCATTGAAGTGCTCTTTGGTAAACCACATTTTTGTTTTTTGGTCTGACGTTAACACAAACAGAGCGGATGGTTTTCCAACTCGTATACAGGCAACGTATAACTGCCCACGTGAAAAACAATGATTTTCTAAATAATCTATTTGAAATGTATACCGTTATTGCGAACGCAAAGCAAACTGGAAATTGTAATCGTTTGAAGTCAAACGGAAGACTAGTCGGAATCATTGGTATGTCACCAAATCGCCAGCAATTTTTGATTGAATGGTGAAATTCAGTGCGTGTACATCATTATTCTTTGCGGCAAGAATTGCTCGTTGACTTAACCAAGCATAATTCTGATAATTCTCACTAATGTCATTACTCGAATTTTTAATTACGGTGCGTGAAGTTCCAGCAATTTGCATTAAGGCACGATGCCATGCACAACTAATTTTCTTAGCTATAAACCTTGCGGAGCCCGAGACCTTTCCAACGAATGCAAAATTGTCGAAATCGGTTCGTGCGTTCTGGAGTTATTTCGTCAGGAAGGAAAACCCGACTTATTTTTATATATAGAAGATATATGTACCTTCTTGCTAATACCTTCAAAAAAATTTATAATTGATGTACATCTGTGATCATTTCTGACCGACAAATGGCTGATTTTTTAATTTATTTACTCCGCCAATACAAGTAAAATGTTTTCTGAATCATTTAAATCGGACACCCCGTTCTCTCAAAAACTGAATTGTCTGGCTACATCCACCTTTGCTAAATTGAAACAGAATGTCCCCTCATCAATAAGATTCGAATGTATTTGTATGATTTGCTTAGGATTACGAAGAATGCACAAAGCGACAGACATCGTGGAGGTTATGACCAGGAAGACGAATATCATGGACGTAGCGTCATGATATTAGATCCCGTTCCAGATCAACAATCATCAGTTTGGGGATTGCAAACCACCGATAAGGACTACGAGGTATTGCTTTAATAAATGATAGACTACTGATTAGTATTATACAAAGCTGAACACTTGTTCAGGATGACTATGAAGACGACACCGACGAATACGAAGACGTATACCAAGACGAAGAAGAACTGTACGATACAGGTTAATTATTTTCATACACTTATCTAATATATGATTTAAACCATTACACAGGCCAACAAAAAATTTTTTTGTTTGGTGCATCAAATGTTAGAGCTGATTCTTATAGTATTTTTTGCGCTGATTTCAAATCTGCAAACCTGTTTTTTTGTATGAGCTCTAGTTTTTGAGATACAAAGAAGTTGCCGAAACCAGGTCCATTCGAGGTCGTCACGGAAAAGAACTTTTCACAGTGTCAACTAATGTCCCAACTAAGGCCGAATGGGTCTTGTAAGTTGTATGTACGAGTAGGCATATCGCATTAAAATAGCATTCTGAATTGTATTACTCTTTTGTACTTTCGTTCCTTATATTAGGTGCGCAACTAAGTTCTCGCTGTTTGTCAGTATATGGCTCTAGCAGTAAGGGTTGGTCATTTTGACAAATCCAAAACGTCTGGAACCAAGCTTAGAGTAAGTAAACAAACTGCTGCGACACATAATTGATTTCGTTTTTGCATTATATACTTCTGGTTAAATGAATATGTCCAATTTTATGCCTAACAATCGTCATTAGCGGAAAGTGTTCATTTTCGTCTTCCATTCAAAAAAAAAATGGCAGCTCAAGTGCATCGAGAGCTACGAAAATGTTGCTCTGAGCGAAACAACAAGCTGTGAAGGGTTTTGTCGCTTCAAAAATGGTAATTTTGATGTTGAGGACCACCCTCGTGAAGGAAGGCCAAAACCTTCAAAAACGCTAAATTGAAGGCCTTGTTCGAAGGTGATTCGTGCCAAACTTAAGAAGATCTTGCTTCAGAATTAGGAGTTACCCATCAAGCCATTTCCAAGCTATTGCATGCGTTGGGGATGATTTAGAAGCAAGAAATTTTGGTTCCTCGTGAGTTGAAGCCAAGAGACGTCGAGCGTCGTTTTTTCGCCTTTAAACAACTGCTCCAGCGGCAAGAAAAGAAGAGGTTCTTCATCATATCGTGACAGGTGATAAAAAATGAATACATTACAGCAATCCAAAGAGAAGAAAATCTCGGTTTGGCCGAATATTCACTGCGAAGGTTATGCTCTACATATTGTGGGACCAGGTCGGTGTTATTTGTTATGAGCTGTTGAAACCGAGCGAAACCATCACTGTATCGAACTCAATTGATTCATTTTTTTTTTTATAATAAAGTTACAATTTCATCGGGAACTTAGTTGCGCACCTAATATATCATACATATAT